TACCCTTGAATAGCACGTACTCCTGCAGGGCCACATGCAGCCTGCCCACTGCGTTGCTTGCCCACCGCACCACACCACTAGAACCACGCCACCACCATGTGCTTCGTTATAAGCTGACTTGATACACTCTGCTGTTGTGCCAGCTTGCGCCTACGACTGCGACTGCATCTGTGGCTCTCCCATGGGCAGGTGCTGTTGGTGAGGGCAGGTGCTGTTGGTGTGGGCAGAAGAAGCGTGCGAGGGGGAGAGAGGAGGTAAGACCATACTGACAAGCGACGAGAGGGATTCTCTGATGGCAATGAGCAGGAAAGCAGTGCTTCATTGTTGTGCTTGCTAGATTCATAGCGTGAGATGTTGCATCGCAGAACAAGGGTCTCGTTACCATGGTCTGGTTACCATCTACATTGCATGGCAATAGCCGTTACCTCGGTCGTCTCGCCAGCCTCATGCCCATCTCGGCTGCGGCGACCTCAACCCCCTCTATTTGTCAGCGAATCTATACCCACTGATGTAACTTCAACGCAGCTTTGACCTGGATAACGGATCGGGAACAACTAGACAAAGCAAGAAACCAAAACATTGATTTTGTCAATGCAGCGCCTTCCTGCTGCCCGCCTCCACCCAATCCCCCACTGACCGACATCACCGCCACTGCTGCTGCTCCTATGCTGCGAGGCTGCATGGCGTAGAGATGAGATGCGCCCCTTATGGTGAGTGCATACATGTACACAGGGCCGGTGCTGTTGATGTGGGAAGGAAAACGGAGCAGGGGGGGTAAAAGGGGACCGTGGGAAGGGAAAAGAGCAGAGGCTAAGGAAGGAGGGATTGACAAAAAGCTGATGATAGCATTGCACGCGGGAAAGCAATGCTCATACTCAGTCAGCCTTTCAAAAAAGCAGACGCAACATACTGTGCGCGTATGGGCTGGGCGTAGGTGCTGAGGGAGGGAGGCAGGGTTTGCGGCAATGATGGGATGGAAGTGGCAGAGAATCAAGAGGAAACATTCAAATCGCTCCATCATCATTCTTTTGAGCTGGGAGACGGTGCCGTCACGTCCTGCCCGCCTTCTCATATTTTTTGGAACATGACGGGGATGGGGAGCTGCCCTATCCACACGTCAGTAGCCATCACTCACTCTGATTTCCTTCAACCCTCCCCCATATCCGTTGTCCCTGCCACCGCCGCTTCCCCCTTCCGTCACCTACACGTCCGGTCAAGACTCCGCCAATCCGCGGGGAAGTTCCATTTGGTTGCGCGTGGGCGGACCTTCAAACAGCGTGTGGAACTGCACATCCGCATTCACCCCTTCCGCTCCTTGCTGCGCCCACAACCGTCATGCGCTTGGGCATAGCATTACAGATGTCGTCAGCTGAACAGCTGTCAGCTGAGACCATCAGCTGAACAGCCATCACCTGAGACCGTCAGCTGAACAGCCATCACCTGAGACCGTCAGCTGAACAGCCGTCACCTGAGGCCGTCAGCTGAACAACCGTCACCTGAGGCCGTCAGCTGAACAACCGTCACCTGAGGCCGTCAGCTGAACAGCCGTCACCTAAGGCCGTCAGCTTCGGACTGCACGTGCATTCATTCCACCATGACGCAGCCATTCACCACCCAAATCGCAAGTTGGGGGAGTCGGTGATTCGGGTTTGGACAGAACCAAGGTGGCTGGAATGGCCAGAATCATCATTGCAAGCCCAAAGACCTTCGCGATGTGTTTCAATGTGTCTTTGTGAAGTCCTAATGTCTTTGTGAGCCACATGAAGCTTTGTTTGTGTGTTTACTCTGGCCCACCATTGCCCCCAAGTTCATATGATATATTTGCATCCCTTTCACCTCCTCCTACTTGCCGCTTGCCTTGTTCCCCCCCCTTGCCGCACCTGCAATGTCTGTTGTTTGAACATGTGGTACGTGATATGGGGATCCCATTACTTGTTGTCAAAACGCAGCATTGGATTGACAACAGAAGTATTGTGGCTATCACATTGTAGGCTACACCTACAAACAGCCAGGAAACGGCCCCTTGCGTGAGCTCCTCCCCTTGCTTGAGCTCCCCTGTATACGTCTGCGTACATCACCATTGTCAAGGCGATTCCCCTCTGGCGTAAAGAGAGTTGTCAGCTTGGTCTGTGCAGTTAGCTGCTGCAACCCATCATCCGTGACCGCTGTGCCATACAACCAAAGAATCTCAAGCCCTGTCAGCCTCCCCACATGCACCATTCTGGCATTTGTCACACCCTCGCATTCACAAAGCCCCAGTGCTTTGAGAGACGAAAAGCGTGTCAAGTGTGGCAATCTCGCATTGGTCACCTTGGTATAATGGAGATAGAGCTCATTGAGCCTGGTCAAAGACCCAATGCCATCCAAGGCACTGTCTGAAACGCATGTTAGTTTAAGGTCTATAGTATCCAGTCGTGGCAGCCTGTAGAGGTGCTTGATGCCCTCTGCACTGAAGCGTGAGCTATGTTGCAAGTCAATGCTCTTCAATTGTGTCATTGTGGACACGTGGCCGAGGATGGTGTCTGAGAGGCCGTGGAGATCCGATAGACCTAGATCAGTTCCTCGTGATGCTGACTTGATTTGTTGGAGGTGACACAACAAGGAGTGACCATCTTGGCAGTAGCAAACAAGGCATGTCTTGTCAAATAGCTCACGCGGAACTCACCTCTCACGCCATCTTCTAGTCGCCTTCATTTTGCCAATTTGACTGCTCAACGTTCACCCATTTCCTACAGGCTGAAAAATCCTCCATGGCACATGGCCAACTCAGCTGCTGTACCTCCCTCCTCCTCTCCTCCTTCTCCCTTGCCAACTCCGCGCACAGTGCAGCCACAACCTTTCCAGCTTCCGCACATAGCTCTTTCAAATCCGCTTCACTTTGTCTTTCAGCCATACCCAGCTGCTCTTCCATCACATCCTTGTGTTCATCCAGCCCTTGCTTCACCCCAGCTAGCCCTTCTTTCACTGCAGCCAGCTCCCCTTGGGTGGCGGCCAACTCCCTCCTCGTTTCTTCCAGCTGCACGCAAAGCGCCCTCATTCTCGCCCCCATCTCACCTTTCACTAGAACCAACCCCCCTTTCACTGCATTCATCTCATCTTTCACTGCAACTAACCCCCCTTTCACTGTAGTCATCTCATCTTTCACTGCAACCAACCCCTCTTTCACTGTAGTCATCTCATATTTCAGTAAACCAACCCCCTTTTCACTGCATTCATCTCATCTTTCACTGCAACCAACCCCCCTTTCATTGCAGTCATCTCATCTTTTACTGCAACCAACCCCCCTTTCACTGCATTCATCTCATCTTTCACTGTAGCCAACCCCCCTTTCACTGCAGTAACCTCCCCTTTGGCTTCAGCCAATCCTATCCTTGTCTCTTCTAGCTGCACGCCAAGCGCTCTCATTCTCATCTCCATCCCCTCTTTCAACTCGAGTGTTCCGCCCATCCTCGCTATGGCAAACCTGACAGCGTCACCCACATCCTGCATCCCAAATCTGGCAAACATTTTAACATCGGCAGCAAAAGGGTGGGAGCATATGGGTAGGCATGGCAGTAGGCAAGGAAAGTCGAAGACGGAGAGGTTAGGATGGCTCCACATGAATTATTGGGGCAATATGAAGAATTCAGGATAAAAAATGGTGGAAACGAGCAAACATAGCATTTCATCAGGCATAATGATGCAAGCGAAGGTGCATCAAAGAGGAAACAGGAACCAGATATGGAAGATTTACAGGAAAGGCTTACAGGTGCGAAGGCAAGAACATGGGCGGAAGAGGTTTAGGAAGTACAAGGACACAGGGAGAACGATTTGTGGGTAGAAAGTAAGACGCATGGGCATCTGATGCAGGCATAAGGTCAATACTGAAACTAGATACAAAGCACACTCAAGTCTACACTGGCACATATTTCTTGTTTATTGGGTGGGTGTGAAGTGATCTCACTAACACATGACAGGAGGACCAGATTGAGCGATGGGGAGGTTCGACATGCTCACATGTGGCTGTGGAGCAGAGAGAAGTTTCCACATGGCTACATCATCGTCAAGGCAAGAAAGGGAGTCGAAGAGAGAGAAGGATGAGAGACGGGAGAGGGACGTGCAGCAGCAAGGGAAACATGAGTGAGAACACGAAAGATTCAAATAACAGAGATGAGAAAGCATGAGGAGCAGGGCTCTGAATATCAGACGAATTTCGTCTGATGGTCTGATTTTCAGATACGATTTTTAGTGTTCGTATGATTTTTCAGACCAGTAATTTATGTTCATATGATCTCTCAGATAAAGCATTTTGGTTCATCTAAAAAATAAGACTAAGTGCTTTTAAATCGTCTGAGTACTCAGACAGCAAGTATGTTTCAGTCTGAAACAGACAAGTACCGAAGCGGGATGGCAGCTGGAGTACCAAGCCAGATGTGGTGAGTTTTCGCTTGATATGGGTCAATCCTTTGCTAGTTTCACGTTGTAGTACGGGGCTGGGTTCAATTCCTGTTGCTTAAAGACAGTTGTGGCGGTGCATTCTGTGTAAACTCCTGGAAATCCGGGGGAATCTTTGTTAGGAAAGATTCGGTTTCAGTGTAGCTCTATCATTGCCTGGTCTAGTCAGGGAAAAAAATCGCGTACACTATTTTCCGAAGGGTGAAAAAAAAACACTCTTTTCGAGAAACGTTAACAATCCGGTTATAGTACTGGATCAAGGTAAGCAAAAGAGATGGCTAATAAAAAGGGTATTTTACCCCGTTATTCTAGGCCCTGGTTCTACACTTGTCTAGACATTTTCCTATGGCTCAATCTCAGTTGAAGAGTAATATAGCATTTAGAGACAGAATAAACATATATACCATACCTACCTAATCACTAAACAAATACCTAAATTTCTAGTTTCGAGCTAAATAGCACACACCCAAAGTCAGGACTCTTTGGTTGGCTATAATTGCAGCCACTTATTGATGGTGTCGCTAAACATGAATGAGTTGGCACCGGTCCGTGAGCCATAAGACCTTTCAGACTCCCTCCCACCATCTCCAGAAAACATTCAGTTCTTTGTTGCTTGCACTCTCTTCTTTCGCGACACTCTCCCACTCATCCTCCTTGTCGGGACAGTGTTTGTCAATAAGGGTACTGAGGCAGTATGCCACATCCTTCATGGTGGGTTGCCTTGTGCCGGGAGACTTGATGCAGTCCAAAGCCAGGTCTAGAAAATCCACTATGGCCTCATCACTTACTAGCGGCATCTTGCCATCCCTCAACTCCTCCACCTCATATGCCTTCACCAGCTTCATTGCCTGGAGGGCATACACACAAGCAAGGATGATGATGGTAGAAGAGGTGCAATGCAGCATGAAAGCCGGTGGAAGGCAGCATGAAAGGGAATGATGGATAAACTTGCGACCTTAAAATGATGAACGGGGTTCGCTTTTATGGGCATAGCCATTGCATTTTTATGCATTTTTTGAGTTGGATAAGAAATTTGGGTTTCATACTAGATGCTCATACCCATTTTTTAATGTGCATTTCCGTGTCGACTAGCGGTGACTTTCCACTCAGCAACTAAAGAAGCATGATTCCAAAGCTGCAAGCAATAATGCAAATGGACAGAGAGGAGAAAAAAATGAAAGATATGAGGTAGAGATAGCAGCACCCACTACAGTTACAATTCAACACACCGACAGGTTATATTAAAAGAGGTACACAAGTTTATTGTGCTATGCAACTGAACAAATCTGTAGACCTGAAGACATCACTCTTTGCAGTAATGACGTGAGGTACAGGGCACAAGTATTTAACATAAACTGGAACACAAGAAACCGAAACAAGTTCAGCGTGTTGTGCGTGCGAACCTGAACACGTCACTCTTTGAAGTCATGATGCTTGTGCGGTTGTAGTCCAGATCCACGTAGCCCGGAGTGCCGATCACTCGTGTGGCATCAGCATCGCCGTGAGAGAGGCGCTTGAGCAGCCCAAAGTCAGCCACCTTGGCGTGCATGTCAGCAGTCACGAGGATGTTGGCCGGCTTGATGTCGCGGTGAACGATGGTTGTGTCGAACCCATGCAGGTACGCCAGGCCCTCTGCTGTTCCCAGTACTATGCGCAGCCTCTGGCGCATAGAGAGCGGACCTAGGGCACGAAACACGTGTATGGAGGAGAATATGCAGTTATATGAGAGACGGTGTCATGCTTTGTGCAAAACAAAGAAATGTGTATATATGCAAGCAGTCGTGCCAGTGCAACTCACGCGAGCAGAAACAAAAACCAATGCAACCATTTCACCATCGTGCCAGTGCAACTCACGCCAGCCAGCTCAACTCACGCTTGGAGGCATGGATGGGGTACTGGAGGTCCCTGTTGCCTATGAACTCGTACACGAGGATCTGTTCGTGCCTGCCCGTCTCCACATTCTGGTCCAGGCAGAAGCCCAGCAGGCACACCAGATGCACGTGGTGGAGAGACGCCATGGCTCGCACCTGCAACATGCAGGGCGATGCAGAGGGAAATGGGAAGGCGAGCACGGAATCAGTAAATAAGCATTTTGAACAACAAAGAGTAGCCGTTATATTTCTGCGCTCTGTGGGCGGAAAGCAGGGAGGTAATAGAGGGATGCCTGACCTCCGTCTCAAAGTCGTTGGTCATGATGGTGGAGCGCTTGATGGCCCACAGCTGCCCTTGCTGCGAGCAGCCTTTGTACACAATGCCAAAGCCACCCTTGCCCAACACATTGTCCTCCGACCAGTTGTTGGTGGCCTTGAGCATCTACTGCAGCGAGAACTGCTCACACACATCCAACCCCTCCCACTTCTCTGTGCACACAACAGGTAAAAGGGGAGAGAGAGAGCGACCAAACGAAATGAGTGACCGAGTGTGTGGATGAGTGGAGAGAGCACGAGGGCAGTGGAAAGGCAGAGTTGTAATGCAGGAAAAACGGCAGGGAAATCGAGCTGAATAAGGGTGGAGGGGCTTACTTGGTCCGCGGGGCCACAGCAACCATAGGACCACAGCTGCTAGCAGCATGAAGCCAGCAAAGCAGCCCACCGCAATGCCCACTATGGCACCCGTGGAGAGAGAGGCCACTGCCAAGGCAGGGGAGGTCAAGAGAAAGAGGGCGGTGGTTAGCGGGAGCTGTAGAGGGACAGAAAAGAGTGATACGAGATGGTTAAGAGGACGTTCATTACTTGGTTATGGGGGGAAGGTGGGGGGCCAAGGGTGGGAAGGAGGGGGTGACGAGCGGGGAAAGGGGGGCAACACGGTGGAAAAGGGGGCAACACGGTGGAAAAGGGGGCAACACGGTGGAAAAGGGGGCAACACTCAAGCCATTGATTCAACATACCGGAAGGGGGCGGCAGCTGGCAAGTGGTGGTATTGGCAGAGCCGGCAGCAGTGACATCAACGTAGCCACTGGCACATGAGCATCAGAGGGACGGTGGCCAACCGCTCTACACCACACACTGCCCCGCACCCGCACCCCCACACGGACCCTGCCCTGACTCTATCCCACACACCGCCGCACACTCTGTCAGCCCCCGCTGCTGCCCCACCCCCTCACTCCCCAAACAATTCCCTTCCACAGTCAGCCATGCCACTGCGCTGCTATTCCCCCCCCCCCCCCCCCCCCCCCTCTCCCCTCGTGCTCCAGTTCCCCCCTGCTGCCCCCCCTGCCATACCCACACCCACTCAGAGATCGTTGCATCCTGGGCTGCCCAGGGGCGGAGGGACTGGGGTTGGGGGGTCGCTGGGAGGACGAGAGAGGGGAAGGGTGGGGTTGGGGAGGAGGAGAAGAGGAGAGGCTGATGTTGGGGGAGGGGGAGAGGGAGCCGTAGAGGTAGTAGCCACTGAGGTTCAGGCTGATGGGCGGCATGTTTTGGAAGGTTGCGGCATCCATGAAGAGGAGATTATTGCTGACGTCACTGGGAGACAGGTGCAGAGCAAAGGGAAGCAGGGGTTGAAGGGGAGAGGAGAGGTCAGGAGCGGAGATGGCCTGTAAGGTACAAGGTTGAAAGCGAAATTCGCAGCACGATTTGTGGTCGATGGTTACAAACAAGAGTGCGACAAAAAGAGCAGCGGAGAGAAAGAGGAATGAGAACAACGTCAGGGTGATGAGCCGAGGGGCAAAACTGAAGGGCGAAGGTTGAAAGGGCAAACGGACATGAGTTGGAGGGAGGAGAGGAAGGGCAGGCACTGGGGGAGGGCCCCCCAGAAGGCGTTGCTGCTAAGGAGCCTGCAGGTGGACGGGCGGGCAGGTGGAAGGACGGGCAGATGGAAGGATGGGCAGGTAGAAGGACGGGCAGGTGGAAGGGCAGGTGGAAGGGCGGGCAGGTGGAAGGGTGGGCAGGTGGAAGGGCGGGCAGGTGGAAGGGCGGGCAGGTGGGCCCATGGGAAGGTGGGCATCTGCGCATTACACTATGTAAACATTGCACGGTGAGCACGTTGCATAGTGTGGATGGTGCACCGAGTGGTTGTTACAGCATGTGGGTGTTACAACATGTGGACGTTACAGCATGTGAGCGTTACATGATCTGCAGCACGGATTGGCAGAGGAACTCGGGAATGGGGCGTGAGAGCTGGTTGTGGTGCGCCGCCCTGCACGGATGGGCAGACGAGAAGCAAGAGGGGGGGGGAGACGGGAAGCAGGGGTGGGGGGGGGGGATGGGAAGCAGGGGAGGGGATGGGAAGCAGGGGGGGGGGGGGGGGGGGAGGGGGGGACGGGAAGCAGGGGGGGGGGGGGGGCAAAAGTGCGGACGGGAAGCAGGGATGGGCGGCCGGGAAGCAGGAGGGGATTGGGGGCTGGGCGGGAAGGAAAGCAAGAGGGCGCATGGGGGATGGACGAGGGGCAGGGGGGAGGAATGGGGAGCGGGTGGGCGAGAAGCAAGGAAAGGCATGCGCGATGTCTGGGCAGGGGACGCTAGCCAAGGAAGAAGAGCACAAAGGACTCAAAGACAGCACGAGCAGCGAAGCCGGGCTCACGAGAGTAAGAGAAACGACATGTGGTGGCACTCACAGCATGGCCCCACACTCACAGCATGGCCCCACACTCACAGCGAGGCCCCACACTCATAGCGAGGCCCCACCCTCTCAGCATGCGCCCATACTCACAGCAAGGCCAAACCCTCACAGCATGCGCCCACACTCACAGCAAGGCCCCACACTCACAACATGACCAGGCGCTTGAGATTGATATGAGGGCTCTCCAGCGACCCTAAGAGCATGTTGAGTGAGAGGTCACTGCGGCAATGGGAGCGTGTTGAATACATGTTGAGTGTGTCGATGGAGATATGGGAGAGAGGCATGGATGGGAGTTGAAGGGGGAGAGAGGCATGGATGGGAGTTGAAAGGGGAGAGAGGCATGAATGGGAGTTGAACAGGGAGAGAGGCATGGATGGGAGTTGAAGGGGGAGTGAGGCATGGATGGGGTATAAGGGAGAGAGTAACACATGGGTGGGCGGAAATGGGAGAAGAAAAAGTCACTGATGAGAGAACACGCACTAGGAAAGAGAGGGTGCAGGAGGGAAAGGGGAGGGGAAGAAGGAAGGGGATAGGAGTTTTTACTCCCAAGATTCAAATGCGATGGTTACGAGGGATCTCGCAGTTACCAGAGCTCTCATGGTTACTAGGGCATATGCACATGACGAGAGCTGGGCTGGCAGCAGCGTTGGGCAGCGGGCCTGAGAGGCGGTTGCGAGACAAGTTGCTGGGATTGTGAGTTGTGTGGCAGGGGACAGGGGGAGAGAGGGCAGAGGGGCAGATGAGAGACGACGTGAGGACGGATGGTGAGGATGAATGAAATTTAAATAAATGGCTGGTTGCTAGAAGCTGCTGTTCTGATTCCGGAAATTACTGATGGGTGGTATAGATAGGGAAGTTGACTAACAGGTGGGAGAGCTGTCGCAGGTTGAAAATGGAGGGAGGTAGCGAGCCTGAGAGCAGGTTCATAGCCATGTCCCTGCCATGGCGTTGCGTGGCTTGGCATGGGGAAGAATAGGGGGTAGACATGACATGGCCTGGCGTGGCGTGGTATGGGGATGACGTGGCACGGGCAATGGTAAGGGGTGGGCATGTGATTGCCTCGTTGTGGTTCATGGGACCATGGGCGGTTTATGTACATACACAACAATGGCATTGGCAAGGACAATGGGATGGATGCTCATGTGTCTCTACTGTGGGTCTTGGGTGGGTGGCTCATGCTGACATCAGATGTCATGACGTGGCATGCTGACATGTCAAGACACGGCATGCTCCACGGGAAATAATATAGTGGTTCACATAGAGGCATGCGAAGTCCATATAGGAACTATACATGCATGTAGGCATGTCGTGGCCATACAGGTGGGTCATGTCATACAGGTGGGTCATGCCATACAGGTGGGTCATGCCATACAGGTGAGTCATGGCATACAGGTGAGTCATGGCATACAGGTGAGTCATGGCATACAGGTGAGTCATGGCATACAGGTGAGTCATGGCATACAGGTGAGTCATGGCATACAGGTGAGTCATGTTGGGCATGCGGCCGAAAAAGGGCGAAGTCAACAAGCTCAGCAACTAAGGCAGACTTAGCAGCATACTCAAATGAAGGGTCAGTCACAACTATGGCAAGGAGACGAGTGACAGTCGGACTGGCAGCACGGACAAGGTCTGACTCAAGGTCAGGAACGTGAGGAAGAGAAGACATAGGAGGAGAAGGCAGGACAACACGCTGTGGAACAGAGGAAGGACGAAGTGCCATACGGTGAGTGCCTGACACAGCTGGAGCACGAGGACGGACAACACGACAACCACGAACAGGAGTGGAAGCACGAGTCTCATGATCACGACGCTCAGGAGTGGAAGCACAAGTCTCAGGCTCACGACGCGCATTCAGGGACGCAGGGACCTGAGTGTGAGGTGAAGGAGCAGGCAGCGGGGAGCGAGGCAGTAGCTGTGGCTGAGACTGGTCAATCGATGGGAACAGTAACGGAGGAGTAGAACCAAGAACCGGGAACTCAGTAGCAGCAGGCGGAAGACTAAGAAGGCGACGAAGCGCAGACGGTTGCGGTTGAGTAGTCGCACCCCTAGAACCTCCCGCTCCAGGAGCAACAGCACCCCTAGAACCAGTGCCTCCAGCTCCAGTACCAGCAGCACCCCCAGAACCAGTGCCCTCACCTCCACCACCGGGACTGCCCCAACGAACAGCCCACTCGCGAAGCTGGAGCGGCGAGAGCGACTCCTGCCGACTAGCACCACTAACTCCATTACCCCCAATAGCACTTCCAATAGTACCTCCAGTGCCAGCACCTCCAGCACCTCCAGTACCTCCAGCTCTAGGAGAGCGAGCACGGCTAGCTCCACCACCAGGGCTGCCCAACTGTACGGCCCACTCGCAAAACCACACCGGCGAGAGAGTCGCCCGCTGACGTGCAGCAATGCCACCAGTACAAGCAGCCACAGCACCACCAGTAGCAGAACCTCCAGCTCCAGCAGTGCCAGCACCACCAGCTCTAAGACGGCTAGCTCCACCACCAGGGCTGCTCCATTGGACAGCCCACTCGCGTAGCCGCTCTGGCGAGAGAGCCTTCTGCCGACTCGTAGAAGGACCACCAGCACCAGTACCTCTAGTACCTCCTATACCCAGAGGACACTCAGCACCCCCAGAACCAGCACCCCCTGTGGTACCACCTCCTGTAGCACCACAGTCCACAGCGACAGGCTGCAGCGGCGGTGAGGACGATCGAGGCGGAAACCCAGGAGGGACAGCCAAGCGTGCAGAGCGGCAAGAGGTCACTGTGGCAGCAGGAGTCAGGTCACCCCCCTCAGTTGGGCCAGAGGTGTCTGAGGAGACCTCTAAAGGCTCAACCAAGGGGGGTGGGTCTACCTAAGACACACTTGAGGGAGCGGAACCGTGAGGAGGGAGGGGAGCTATCGAGTAGGGGTTGTCCACCAGGGCGAGAGGCGGGAGGGGTATCGGGGAACTGCGGTGGGGGTGAGGACGGTAGAAGCAGACGGACTCGTCAAAGCTGACGCCGCGGGAGGAGAGTACACGATGAGAGCCCGGGTGGTAAAACTGCCAGGGTGGTGCGTCGGTGGGAAAGCCAAGGAAAACTCACTGAAGAGTGCGTGGAGAGAGCTTGCCCGCAGGTAAATCGCGGACAAGAGAGAGGGAACCTTAGACCCGAAACGCCGACGCATCACCAACCTCGCCTGTCCACCGCAAAGTGGGGGAAGTCTCTGTTAGAGGGCCCTACGACAGCAAGGGCCCTCGATGACCTTTGACTTGGCAGGTCGGCGCCTAACGACTGAGTCTACTCGGCACCGACGCACGAGTTCGGTGGCGGTCATTAGTGACTACGGGTGACTATGATCTACTGCAGCGAACTCGGCGGAGTCGGTGCTAGGAATGACGAGTCTTGGGGGTCGTAGGTGCCTTGCTTATGAGGCACACTGCTCACTTGCTGTGTTGGCAGTAGTAGCGTGCACGGTGAGACATTCCGGTGCCGAGTTGGGTTGGAAATGTGCGGGGCGCGTTCACACACCTGCACAGCACTTTCGTGTGGGTTGGGTTACTCGCAGCGCCACGCAACAATTGTGCAACTCTTGCTTGCCTATATATGTTTGTGTTTGCTTGTGTGTTTGATACTTAATATTGAAATTCTACTTGGCCCAAATGCTACTTCAATTCTCACAAAGTCCTTAGAGGCAAACGCTACCAAAACTCTACCAAGTTGCTGGCGCAACATCATTCCCATAGCAGATACTCTCTCGCTATCGCTACGCTCTCTAATTTATTCCTTCAGTCTCCGGGTGGGAGACACGGGGCCAGAGGTTGAGCTGCTCAGCGGCGTATCGGACCGCTAACGGCCACAGAAAATGGGGAGCAGCCACATGGATCCATGGAGGTGCGAGCAACCTCCATGACAAGACCAATGCGGCGCTCAGCAACCCCATTCTACTGTGGAGAGGGCGGAAGCGTGTACGACTGGATGATGCCCTCAGCACCACAGAAGTCCTCAAGGAGGTGAGAGAAAAACTCACCTCCTCGGTCAGAGTGCAGCCGCAGGACAGGGAGGTCCTGCTGGAACCGAGCGCGAAGCTGGAGACGAATAGCGCGGATCTAGCGGATCAAGATACCGCAGACATCCGCCTAACTCTGCAAGGGGAAGACCATAGTGTAGCGCGTGTAGTTGTCGACAACCAGCAAAAATTATCGCTCGCCACCCTATCCACTGACGTGGGCGGGGCCCCACACGTTCATGTGCAGGGTCTGCAGAGGAGCAGTGGTAGGAGGAAACGAGGAGGAGTGAGGAGCGGCGCCTTGCCGCCCCTCGATGCAGAGAAGTCGGGGCGGTGCAAGAGACCTCGGGAGCGGGGGGAGGGACCTGGGGAGACCAGACACAAGGAGACGCGAGTGCATGCCACGCAGGCATGGCAGGGAGGGGTGGCCAAGACCGTGGTGCCAGAGGAGAGTCTGGTGCGTGAGGAGACGACACGAACAAGACGAGGCAACCTCAACCGACGCAGCTACATGACCTGACTCAGCTACCAGTGCAGACTCAGTGGACAGTGTGTACAGGCCAGACCTAGGCCTCCGAGTGAACGTGGCGAGGTGTTCACCAGTGCGCGAGTCCATACAGATCGCCACTAGCTCGCCTCCAGGTTGGGTGACAGTGACCTACTGGTCCTGGAGGACAGAGGTAGCCACCAAGTTCTTAGCGAACGAGGGGAGGTGGAGACCTGTGAGGAGGCCGGAAGGGGCCGCCGGACAAGGGAGAACAGTGGCACTACGCGCGACTACCGGACCCCCAGAGGGGTCGGCCAGTGTGACAGGGACAGGGACTGTGAGCGGTGTGACTGTGGTGTGTCGTGGAAGAAGCAACGAGACGCGCCTGAGTCAAGAGTAAAAGTGTGCAAGGCCTCCTCAGGCTTTGCACCTATGCTAGCCGAGTCAAAAGTACTGTCGGAACCTCGCCACCTCCCTGCTGCTCTCTCTGTCTGACTCCTGACTCCTACCTTGCTGGTCTCTCCTCACTTATCTCCCAGGACTGCACTTGTTGGATCTCACCCCTTCCTTCCACTCTTAGCCGGAACCTTTCCTGCACTCGTCAGCCTTACTGATTTATCTCCTCCTGTGACCTCGGCCTGCACTCTCCCTTCCCCCTTCTCCCTCTTCTCTAGTACTGCTCCTTTTACTGAACTCACTCTGTGATAAGCCCTCAGCTCCTTCACATAACGCACTACTCTAACTGCTATTTACATCTTAGCTTGCAATATCTACTTCCCTTCACCACTTGCGCTATAGGATGCAAGAATATCGTGTTACAAAGGAAACACACAAGCATTGAGGATAGCTACCACAAGGTACCTCCTATCTACTAGATCGGCCTCCGCCTCGCTTGTCCTGCCT